AGAATAAAGCAGTAGTCGAAAAGCAGCAATTAAATATAAATAGACCACAATATTAAAATTCAAATTAAAAACTATATAAAAGACAAATACTCTAAAAGCGCAAAAGATCAGAACCAAATAAAATGAATAACCATAATAACCTAAAAATCACACTAAAATTGCAAAAACTATTACTGTAAAATCATGAGATTACATCAATAATGCATATGCGTCGGAGTATCGCAAATGTCAAAAGTACAGTGTTTCCATGAAAATTTAGCTATGTTTTTAGCAGTATTATAGGACCATTTCTACCACGCGCATCCAACGATATTGGCGTTCCACAGTTCACTGTATTTTCCTCACATTTCTAGTATAAATGATTTGACATAACGAAACTAACAATAATTATAATTAATGTAGTAATAAGTGATTCGTGAATTCTAAATAAAACAATTATTATATAAAAGTGTAAAAGGAAATGTAATTTATTTCCCTATTTTCTTCTGTAATATCTTCAATTATTATGTTTAATTTCTATAAATAAACCAACTGGTTAGGTGAAACATTGTGATATAAGATTTTATTTATGTGTCCTATGCGTACACTTTAATATACAAAACACCTGGAACATTCTTTAAATAATTGTGGTCGTAGAAATAATTGTGTACATAACTCGTTTGAAAGTGTATTTCATGCACTTGCCAAATATATTATCCATACAGATTAATCAGACTATTTTTTTACTTAACTTCAGTACATCTCTTACTACTAAAACTATTTTTATCAATGGAAAAAAAGGGCCGTGTTCTCGTATTTTTTGACGCATTTTCGGCCTCAGCCCATCGGATCCCCCCTCTAAATATATATGAATTTTGCTTAGAATTGCTAATCCTACAATTCTCTATTCGTGCTTGCTGACTGGGGAAATAAATACCGAAAATTGTCACTGTCTCCTGGACTATACAATAGATGATGATAATGATGAGAACTTCACAACAAATTCACTTTTATGAATGGCTAGTTGGGGATGTGTGATTTTGAAATTCTATTTAAATATAGTCCAGTCAAAGAATTAATACTTTCTTGTTGTGAAGTTATAAAAAAAAGATGAAACGGAAGAAAATAATATTGAAACTAGAATAAATACAGCAAAAGAAAAGAAAAGGAAGGATTTTCAATGTAAATTAATAAAATTAAAATATAAATATAATAAGAAGAGAATAAAATTTAAATGTTTTTAAAACTTTAAGATGAAAGGAACAAAAGTACTAATTTGACAGAAATAACTCTATATTTTTCAAAACTTAATGCAGGAGGAGTTATTGTGAACATAATAGACTCTTTTATATTATAATTACATTATCTTTGCTTAATAATCATTTTTAGTTTATAAATAGGAGTAAAACCTTATTATTATTGTTGTTTGAGGTAGCTTTAGTGTAGGTTTTAGTCCAGATTTGTCTTAAATATTTATTTAAATGTATTCCGTTTTGAAATTTATAACTAACCATTAATTTTTACTTTTTCAACCACTTTGGATCTATTTATTTAATATAAATTCATTTCTACAAACTAATAGACTAAACAATTTCATTCAGAATAGATTCACACCTGTCCCAAAGCCATAATCCCGTTCATAATAGTCCAAGTTAATAGAACACAATACAAACATGCCACTAACATTATATATCATAACCTAATGATTCAGTGTCCGCACTATCTATCCGACTATCGCTATCATAAGCTCTCCCCCGATTATTTACCAATGCAGAAACATTAATTACAGTTATATCGCGACATCTTGTCATGTTTCATAAACAACACAGTTTTGGTGGAAAACCCCGACTCGTTTTAAATTATTCAGGACTATGTGTCCAGTTATATTGATCAAAATTAAAGGTTAGTTGATTATACACTGTTTATGATATAAAAAAAAGTAATATTGTGACAATGAATGTTATGAATAATTTGGAGACGACCTGTATATTTTTATTTAGTGCAGTTGAGTAATAGATAATTATCAGATATTATACAATCATTTTTAAAAGTATTTACATTCAAATTACATAATCATACAATAAATGTTTTGGTTATTATTTATTTTTTCTGTGATATTTATTAAATAACATTTCTCTTGAAATATACAACTAATTAGGTCCACCCCTGGGTTGTCGTTGCAGGTGTTCATATACGAATCCCTTTTTATGCTGAAAGAGAAAGAATAGGCTATAGAAACAAGGCTAGGAAATTGATAGGGGATGTTTTTACCAGCAAATCTGGACCGAAACCAATGCAAAAAATATGAGGTCACTCATGTATATTAAAAAGTACACAGATAATCCCCTAATATTAAACTATATCAACAACTACAGAATATTGAATCGGAAAATCACCAAATCTGCTAAGAAAAACTATTACAAAAATCGCATCGCAAGAGCTAAAAACTCCTCCAAAGAAACCTGGTCTATAATAAATGACTTAAGGAATAAAACCCGTACTTCAAACAGTGTAAATCCTAGCCCAGATGAACTAAACAATTATTTCGTAAATGTAAGTAAAAATATCAAATCTAACATAGCTCCGAGTCAGGATGCTCTCTCCTTCCTCCTACCTACTAAAAGGATCACTGAAAGTTCTTCCTAAGACCAGTAGACAAGCATGAACTAGTGCAAACCATAAACAACATCCAAAATAAATTTTCCTGTGGAATTGATGGCCTGTCCACCAAAATATTTCTAAATATACCGGATGTAGTAATCAACATTTTAACTTCACTGATTAATGAATCCTTTGAAATTGGTCTCTTTCCTAACTGTCTAAAAACAGCTATAATAATCCCACTTCATAAAGGTGGCGACAAAACAAAAACCTGTAACTATAGACCTATCGCGTTATTGCCTACCTTATCGAAGATAGTAGAACGGCTAATGAAAAACCGTCTTTTGCCCTTTCTTTTCAAGCATAACATCCTCACAGCTCATCAGTATGGCTTTCTACCTAAAAAATGCACTAGCGACGCAATGTTTTCCGTTCTTAATGAAATATACACATCACTTAATGATAAACTTTTCACCGCTTCAGTATTTTGTGACTTCGCAAAGGCCTTCGATTGTGTAAATCATGATATTTTAATTAATAAGTTACAAATTTATGGCATACGGGGTTCTCCTTTACAATGGTTTAAAACTTACCTAGAAAATAGAAATCAACAGGTGCGGGCGAATGGTGAGGATTCTACAAATCTAGCAATAAGCAGTGGAGTACCTCAAGGATCAGTATTAGGTCCAATTTTGTTTTTATTATTCATCAACGACATCACAGACTTAAGAATAAGTGGTAGAATTACTTTATTTGCTGATGACACCAGTGTAACCTGGAATAATTCTAACATGCAGACATTACAATCTATCATAAGTGAAGATCTAGTGACTATTAAGTCCTGGTCTGATTCGAATGGACTTTGTTTCAACACCAGTAAAACTGTAGCATTGTCTTACAGAGGTACTTTACAACCTATAACTTTAAACAATAATCTGATCCAAACGGTGACTTCAATCAAGTTTTTAGGTCTTTATATAGACGATTCTCTAAAATGGTCTGCTCATATAGATACCTTAGCAAAAAAATTATCCTCCGCATGTTTTGCCATTAAATCGGTTTCTAAAGAGCTGACTCCTTCTACTGCATTAATAACCTACTTTTCCTTATTCGAATCTCACCTTCGCTATGGTTTACCTTTCTGGGGTTCTTGTAGCTTATACCTTTTTGAATCTATTTTTAAACTGCAAAAAAGAGCAATCCGCTATGTATTTGGTTTAAGTAGTAGGACACATTGCGAAAATTACTTCAAAAATTTCAAAATTCTAACCCTTTCTGCTCTATTTATTTTCGAATCCGTCTGCTTAGTTCGCAAGCACATTCAAAATTTATCCGAAAGACCGACTCGTAGATATCCTACAAGAAATTTAGAGACTGATGTTTATTTAACAATGCCCACTTCTGACCTATTAAAACATTCCATTACCTACAATGCCAAAAAATTGTATAATAACCTTCCGATGCAATTAAAATCTATAAATACATACGATAAGTTCCGAAGACTGGCTAAAGCTTTTTTTCTAGAAAGACCATATTACACAGTAGCAGAATTTTATAACGTACCTTAGACATTTGAGTTCCACATACAATGGCATTAATTAAATAATTAAATATTAAAGTTTAAATTTAAATTTAAAAATTAAATTAGAATAATTATAATGACGGATATTGCATATCCATTGCAATTGTTATTCCTATTTTGTCTGTTTGTTTCTGTTTGTTTTTTCTGCTGTTTAGTTATTTTTATAATATGTTTAGTATTTAAGTTACACGCTTTGTCTATAAAATTTTTGTAAATTTTTTTACGACAATAAAGCATATCTCTCTCTCTCTCTCTCTTCTTTAAATTTACAGTATATATAGTTAATGAATAGTCAAAACAATATTTAACAAATTTTAAGCTAGCAAAACTGCACAGTTCAGTAGAATTGTTTAAGTTTAAATAACCATCATGAATCAACACTAAAAAATATTAGTTTTGAAGAGTAAGAGAATAATAAATTTAATTTTTCTACAAATTTAGAATATAACGATAAGAAAAATAAACAGCAAATGCAAGAAAATCATAATTCCTGATACTGACTCACCTTTTGTTATTGATATTTGTAGTTATAACACTATTTTGTCATCATTTTGATTGATTCATATAAATCTGCTTCTTTTGCATTTCTATATTTTTTTTAAATTGAACTTTTTTTACAGCAATATCAGGAAGTTCCATAAGTCCACGTTTAACATTAGACTAACATCATTGTTTGTATTATTTTAAACAATCTTACATAATTTTTATGTTAATCCTATTATACAATATAAAAAATGTAAATAAATCTCGCACTAATGCATCTTTATCGGTATTTTCGAACCTCCACAGCAAAAAACCTAAAAGTATAATATTTTATCAAGTTTAACTTTATTTCCAGGTGAGGGAAGTTGCAATTCAAATGACGGTGTCTCAGATCTCCGATACGGAAAGATGGGATCCACAACGGCGGGAAGCGGTTCAGAAGACGAGGGGGCAACAAATACGTCCGGACACTCGGAGAGCGACAACTGCAAGAAAAAACATAGGAGGAACCGCACAACGTTCACTACCTATCAACTGCACGAGCTGGAGAGAGCTTTCGAGAAAAGTCACTACCCTGATGTTTACAGTAGGGAGGAGTTAGCCATGAAGGTTAATCTACCAGAAGTTAGAGTGCAGGTAAGCGATTTTGTAGATTTAAATTTAAAATAAAGTTTTTATAGACTTCTGAAATGATTTGGTTCTTAATTGAATTGATATTTTTATAATTAAAACACAATTCGCATTTAACTATATAGTGCAACCTCTTGAAACGTTCGCCAACGTGCTGATCAGGTCGGCTTAGGTTGAGTATTATTCGTATGTTAAAGATAATTTTTAAAATTTCCCTCGTATAATATTAATTGCTTTTATTTATCTAGACATTTTAAATAGGAAATCATATCATTCATTTTACAATCAATCATAATTTTATTTTCATCCAACTGTAAATTTTACATAAACTTGGAACCTTTCCCTTCTCGAATTTCCGATACAATCAATATCGACGCAGTAATGAACTCCAATTAATTACAATATGGTAACCGGATTCCATCAGACGCTTACGCGGTTATTCGACATTTGCAATCGTATTAGAGAGCTCAGGAATTAAGTTCGGCTAAAAAGCGTCAATCCAACACGAGATCAGGACTGTAATCCGATTGTTTCGTTAGAGACGTCTTGTTAGTTCAGTGCCGTGATAAATTGCTCTGGTAATCCACCAGGTGTCTCTCTTCTTGTCTTTAACTTGTGCGAGGACAACTTGACAGACGTGCTTTTGGTATTTTGCGCGGCTGGTTATAGGAAAACAATGTTAATCAATTAAAATATACTGATTCTTTTACAAATCAAACTAATTACTATATATATATATATATATATATATATATATATATATATATATATATACATCCCGCAGCAATATTGCGTCCTTTCATAGCCCATACATTTTGCGTCTCTGGAAACAGTGTGTTTAGAATAGATTTCATCGAGTATATTGAGACTACTAAAAATTAATTGTCTCAAAATATGTTTTTTATGACCATATCGTTAAAAAATTATATACGTTTTTTTTTTATTTTCCGACCATTTTGACTCCTTTTATATTAATATCTATCTTGCATCCGTATATTACTATTTTACGTCCAAAAGAATATTTTTGTTTCATTTAACATATTAATTTACGTCCAACAGTGTTGCCAATATTTTTTAAAATTCAGGAAGGCTTTGTATTAAAGACCAATTTATTTCGAAACCAACCATAAGATTAGTCTAAATATATAAAATTATTTGTTCTGATTGACTGACTGACCCATCAATCTTACCGCCAAAACTTCTAGGTCTAGGAAGCTAAAATTTATAAGATAGGTTTTTTTTATAACGTATGAAAAAAAGAATTTTCAAAAATTTTAATTCTAATGGAGGGAAATGGGGAGCAAGCTTTGTATCTCTTTGTTGTTTGAAGTTAGACACATAAAAGTTTGAAATACAGCTACCTGAGCGTAAATAAATAATAACATGTTTTAGGGTTTTAGGATGTTCACATTTAAAGGGGAGGAAACGGGGAAGTGAACGCTTGCATGGAAAAATATTTTTTTTTTTTAGGTAGCGTTTTTGAATTTTCATATTTTAAGGCGGGAAACAAGTGGGAACAGGGGATGAAAGTTTGTATGCGAGTATCGATTTTTTAAAGGTAGGAATTTAAAAATTGGAATTATAGCTACACATCATAAATAAATAGGTAATGAATTGTTTAAGTGTTAAGGATTTTTACATTTTAAGGTGGGGAAATGGGAGTTCAAAGTCTTTATTAAATATTGGTTTTTTAAACATAGCAACTTAAAAATTGGAATTGTACCTACTCATCATACATAAATAATGACTTGCTTCCGGGTGTTTGGATTTTCACATTTTAAAGAGGGGAGAACGGGGGTAAAGTTTAGTATGGGGTATTGGTTTTTTAACTTGAAAATTGGAAGTGTAGCTACTCATCTTAAGTAAATAATGACGTATTTGAGGGATTTTATATTTTCACATTTAAAGGGCGAGAAACAGGGGGTGGGGTGAAAGTTTTTATGGAAGTATCGGTTTTCCAAAGGTAGGAATTGCAGCTACTCATCATAAATAAATAATGATATATTTTCGGGTGTTTGGATTTTCATATTTTAAGGGTGGAGAAACAGGGAGTAAAATTTTTTATGGAGAAAGAAATAAAAAAACACAAAAATATATAAAAATAAATAAAATTAAATTAAAAAAATAAATAAAAATAAAAATAAATAAAAATAAATAAAAATAAATAAAAATAAATAAAAATAAATAAAAATAAATAAAAATAAATAAAAATAAACAAAATTAAATAAAAAAAATAAATATAAATAAAAATATATGAAAATAAATAAAAATATATAAAAATAAATAAAAATAAATAAAAATAAATAAAAATAAATAAAAATAAATAAAAATAAATAAAAAAATAAATAAAAATAAATAAAAATAAATAAAAATAAATAAAAATAAACAAAATTAAATAAAAAAAATAAATATAAATAAAAATATATGAAAATAAATAAAAATATATAAAAATAAATAAAAATAAATAAAAATAAATAAAAATAAATAAAAATAAATAAAAATAAATAAAAATAAATAAAAATAAATAAAAATAAATAAAAATAAATAAAAATAAATAAAAATAAATAAAAATAAATAAAAATAAATAAAAATAAATAAAAATAAATAAAAATAAATAAAAATAAATAAAAATAAATAAAAATAAATAAAAATAAATAAAAATAAATAAAAATAAATAAAAATAAATAAAAATAAATAAAAATAAATAAAAATAAATAAAAATAAATAAAAATAAATAAAAATAAATAAAAATAAATAAAAATAAATAAAAATAAATAAAAATAAATAAAAATAAATAAAAATAAATAAAAATAAATAAAAATAAATAAAAATAAATAAAAATAAATAAAAATAAATAAAAATAAATAAAAATAAATAAAAATAAATAAAAATAAATAAAAATAAATAAAAATAAATAAAAATAAATAAAAATAAATAAAAATAAATAAAAATAAATAAAAATAAATAAAAATAAATAAAATAAATAAAAATAAATAAAAATAAATAAAAATAAATAAAAATAAATAAAAATAAAAAAAAATAAATAAAAATAAAAAAAAATAAAATAAATAAAAATATATAAAATATATAGATAAATAATTATCATAGTTATCAATCGAAATCATCAATTATAATCATCAATCATAATCATAATCATAATCATAATCATAATCATAATCATAATCATAATCATAATCATAATCATAATCATAATCATAATCATAATCATAATCATAATCATAATCATAATCATAATCATAATCATAATCATAATCATAATCATAATCATAATCATAATCATAATCATAATCATAATCATAATCATAATCATAATCATAATCATAATCATAATCATAATCATAATCATAATCATAATCATAATCATAATCATAATCATAATCATAATCATACTCCTAATCATAATCATAATCATAATCATAATCATAATCATACTCATAATCATAATCATAATCATAATCATAATCATAATCATAATCATAATCATAATCATAATCATAATCATAATCATAATCGTTAATCATAATAATCAATCATAATTCATCAAGCATAATCATTAATCATATTATTTAATCATAATCTGCAATATTAATCATTAATCTTAATCATCAACCACAATCGTCAACCATAATCATCAACCATAATCATCAACCATAATCATCAACCATAATCATCAACCATAATCATCAACCATAATCGTCAATCATAATCGTCAATAGTAATCATCAATCATAATCATCAATCACAATCATCAATCATAATTATCAATCATAATCATCAATCATAATCATCAATAATAATAATCAATCATAATTCATCTAGCATAATCATTAGTCATATTCTTCAATCATAATCTGCAATTTTAATCATCAATCTTAATCATCAACCACAATCATCAACCATAATCATCAAACACAATCATCAACCATAATCATCAACCATAATCGTCAATCATAATCGTCAATTATAATCGTAGATCATAATCGTCAATCACAATCTTCAATCATAATCATCAGTCATCAATCATATTCATCAATCATAATCATCAATCATAATTATCAATCATAATTATCAATCATAAGCATCAATCATAAATATCAATCTCAATCATCATTCTCAATCATGAATCCTAATCATCAATTATAATCATCAATCATAATCATTAATCATCAATCATATATATCAGTCATAATCATCAATCATAAATATCAATCATAATCATATTGGTATAATATTAATAATATTTTTCTTACAATATGTAAATCAATATTAAATCAGATTTTTTAAAACCATAACTAAAATTATGTTAAAGGAATTATAATATATCTATTAAATTCAAATAACCTTTAGTAATTGCCCCCAAATTTCTTATAACTAAAATTTCATTTAGTACTATCCCGTATTTAATCAAACAATTAAAATTATTTTAAAATAATTATAATTTACGTAATAAATTTTAAAAACCTAAGATATTTGCCAAAAACTTCTTATAATCAAAACCCAAAAACAATTATTTTAAAATAATTATTTATATATAATCCATTAAATTAAAATAACCTAAAGTAATTTCCGCAAATGTGTTTACAGAAAAAATATTTAATTTAGAAATCCCTAACTTCACTTAAACCCTTAGAATCCTAACTAATATAACAAAAAATATACAATAAACATCCACGCACTTAACAATGCTCTTTACAGTGATTTGGTTTTACACTTTACAGTGTTGCCGCTAGTTGGAGTCAAAATAGTGAGTGAAATGAAAGGATAATATACATTATGTATATTATTTAGCGCCTCTAACGGTAATCTCACAAACTAAATTTTGTATATTTTCTTTTATATCTGGCACTAAATTGCGTCCATTAAATACATTATAACTGCCATCTTGTATTGGTTAGCTTTAAATAAGTGCTAAATATAGAAACCCAACCACAAAACAAACTTATCTCTGTAAAATTGATTTAGTTCCGTGCTTTTACAAGGCGGGA